TTGCTTGAGTTAGAAAGGACGTTTAAAGGCCATCTGATCCAACTTGCCTGCAGTGAACAGGGACATCCTCAGTGAGATCAGGGTGCTGGAGCTGACCATGGTGGAAGGAGAGGGAAAATGGCTCATTTGCAGTGCCCCTAAAGCAAACCTGCTTCCAGAGATCTGCTTCCAGGCTATCGAGAAGTGATTGAGTACAAGTCCTTTAGCACCCATCTGTTATCTCTTAATTAAAGTTTCTTGCTAATTATTTTTTCTTGTCAAGAAAGCAAAGCTGCTGACTCCAGGGATTTACCGAAGTAGAGCAAACAAATGCGGATTCTGCTTGCTGCAATTCTTCATTAATGGACAAAATTAACTTGGAACGGTCCATATCTTTGGCTACATCAATGACACTTAATTATGCCTGTTTCCTTACAAAGATGTATTTAGTTTTAAATCACTAGTGGAAGAACTGCCTCCTTAAGCATGAAATTCCTTCCTTTGGCAGGGAAGGTTTCTGCTGGCAATGAGAGCTGTGCAAAGACCAAGCAGCACCGAAGGGAACAGGTGTGAGGAGATGAGGGTAGGATGTGCTTTGGGGAGGTGGTGTAGGGAAACCCTTTCCAGTGCAGGTGGATGTTTCATCACGACAGGAAGGGGCCATGAAGCTGCAGATTGGAGCAGAGCCACCTGCATCCCTGAGCATAGTTGGTGATATGCTGACTAGCCAACAAGGTGCTGGACCAAGAGAGAGGGCACAGGGTTGTGCCACTGCACATCCAAAGACCACTGGAAGCCAGAGACATCCCACTGATCCCGTTGTTTTACTGGTCTCATTTACAGTGGGAAGTTGCTGCTTCATCTGCTTGGAAAGCTCTCAGCATACCCCAAGCACCTTGTAAATATTAAATGTATAATTTATGAATACATACACAGAGATCTAATTATCCACTCGGATTATTACTCACGGCTTGCACACAGCTCTGGATGGGAGGTACGTAGGCTAATGGAGTGATAGACACCTTAGGATAGATACCTCTGTCCTAAGGCGCAGATGTGTTTTTCCATCCCACTGCAGAAGTTCTCCACATCTTACGTACGTGGACATGTCCTTCTCTCACTGCCTCAGTTTTCCCATCCACAGGGCCAGAGCCAAAGACCATGCACAAAAGAGTGCAGTGAGTGCAGAACACTTGTGTCTGTCCCAAAAAAATGCTTTGGATCCCTCAGGTGGGATCCTGCCCATGCCTAGCCTCCTAGGAATTGGAGTCTCCCTGGAAAGGCTCTGATTGCCCTCACTGTTCTCATCCAAAAACAGTACTGATGTCTGCAGCACAAGACAGAAAAAAGGAGGTGATACTTGCCAGCAGGGTGTCACGCATGGTGATGAGGCTGGGTGGGCTGGGACAGGAGGGATCTCGGGGCCTGGATCAGCTCCAATGAGCAGCTCTGTAAACCTGTCTGAGAGAACTGCCTCTGTTACTGTGCTTTGGATTTCTTCTTCGTCAGGAGCCTTAAATCATTGCCCTGGGAGGGAGTGTTGCTTTCAAAGACCTTTGTTCCAGGAAAGGCTCCCCCAGCCTTTCTGAATGCATGCCAGCGTGTTTGTGCTGTGTTTAAGAACAAATAGGAAATAATTCAAGTTGCATTTACCCCCCTTCCCAGCCTAGTCCTGACATCCCCATCTGCAGACAAGTGCTCATTCACTGTCCCAAGAAGCAGGGCTGGGAACCCCAGGGCTTTATTCTGACCCAACTCTTTCTCCTAGGCACCAGTTAGGCAGCTTTGTTGGCCCATTGCTACAATGAGCTTTTCTTCCTGTAGGGCTGGTGGGTGATGCTGCATCTCTCAGCATCTGCCTCTGCCCAGCAGGTCTCTGGGTGTGAGGACAGAAGAACTAATGGCCTTTTGTGAGCCAGCAGGAAAGGGGAAAGCAAAATGTCTTTTCTTTGTGCATAAGAAAATAATAGAGGAGAAACTGAGTAAGACCTCATGCTGGAGGTCTGTGATCTATATGCATCTGCCCATCTGCCTAGTCATCTGTCCATCCATCCATCTACCCAGCCATTTAAACAGCCAGCCATACACCCACACCCACTGCCGTTCATTGATTCTTTTCTCCCTCCTTCCAACCGCCCACCCAAGCATTCACCCACCCATCTGTCCATTCACCCCTCCATCCTCACACACAGCCAGCCAGCCAGATGCTTACATGCTTAGACCTCAATCCTCTTACATCTCTGCATCCCCACATACGCTTATCCATCCATCCACTTACAGAGTCATCCATCATTTCTTCTTCATACGCTTCCCTCCATCCCAGCTGCGCCCATCCAGCCAGCTATTCATCTGTCTGCAAGCACACACTCGTTCATCAGCCCACCCATCCATCTCCTTCCACGCTTCTGTCAATCAGCCCATTTTTCTGTGCCCATTCCAGATATTGCTCCTCACACAATCTCCTATAGTCTCCTTGGCTGGGATGTTTTTCCTTCTTTCTGCCTATCAGTATGCTTTTTAAGGTGCTCGAAACAAACTACAGGTCTGTGTAGCCCCTGTTCCACCTGCCAGCAGGACACAAGAGCTGATATCTGGAGAGAAAGGAGTAGGACAAGTGCTGGAGTGCTTCTCTCATCCCTCCCCACTGTTAGCTACCATCAGCCTCACTGGTGCATCTCCACCGCGGGTGGAGTCCTCTGCTATGGATTCATTTAATCGCTGTTTTCCCCTCAATTTTGACATTCATAGCAACAGATGGATGTGGGTTTCTCTAATTTAATCGCGCCTTGTGTGAAAAAAATCTCTTTCTTACTTTAATTTGCTGCCCCTTAATTATCTTATTAGGAGAAAGAGCCGGCGGTCCTTCTCTATTCATCCTCCTCATGTCATTCAGTGTCACTCAGGTGTCTATCACGCCTCCAACCCTGATTGCAGGGATGAAGAGATTGAGTCTGTCAAGCCATCCCTTAAACAGAGGTTGCTTTCAACCTTTGTTCTCTCACATTTCCTTCCTCTTTCTCCATTTTCATCTTAATGGTGCAGGCTCAGATTTGTGTGCTGCTTCTATGGTACACTACTTCCCATTCTCAATCCCGTTCTTAATAATTCTTAACATTGCATTTGCGTCTTTGATTGCCACTGAGCTGATGTTGTCAGGAACGCGATCACTCCAAGATACGTTTCCATGGAGGCTGCTGAAGCTAATTTGGAGCCATGACTGGGCGGGAACATCTGCTTCCTTGTGCGTTCATCGACACAACGCATACTGTGATGCCCCTTGGGATGCTTTTTCCCCCAGCTTTAACTTTGCTGCCCTGACAGCCTCAACTGTCTGCTCACACTGCCTTGGCCCATGAGTTATGAGTGAGCTGGGCAGCCCGGGTCCTGCTCTGAGCTCTGTCACAGCTCACTGGTGACGTCTTCCTCGGCCAAGCCTGACCGCTTCTTCTCACCTTTGGTCTCCTGACCTTTAGCTGCAATAAATCCTTGTGAGGACTCTCCTTGAGTTCAGGGATACTCGGTTTCCCAGGGAGCCTGAGTGGGGCACCTTGTCAAAAGTGATTTGGAAACCCAGGACTATTTTGAGATCTGAACAAACTGATGAAACCTGGAAGGAGATGTTCACATCCTGCTCAATTCCCATCCTGCTTCATCCCATATGATACATTCACAAAAATGTTTTCATTGTTGCCACATACAGCTTAGAGAACAACCGGTGTAGCAGCATAGGAAAGATTCAATTGCCAAGTATCATTAATGAATGTCGGCTCGAACTCCTGTCCAGAAACCTGAGAAAATTCAATTAGGCAGCTGGTGCCCAATGAGCTGTGTTGCTACACTCATGAGATGCTAAATCAAACAGCTCAGCAAGGCATCGTGTTATTGTAGAGAGAGAAAAAAAAAAAGAAGAGGCAGGGAGATAAACAGCATAACATGTGCCAAGCAGCTGCCTCCTTCCAAGGCATGGCACAGGTAAACTGAAATCCTCCCACCTCATTTGCTAGGCCAGGAACTGAAGGCAGCATCCCACTTCCCACTTCTGCTAGTAAATAACTCAAAGCTTGCTAATGACAAGTCTTGGGGCTCTGTCACCTCTCTCCCCTGGGAATTTCTGATGTGTGCATTTGGTCTGTGTCTTGCAGTGAGATAAGAGGGTGCAGGAGTGTCAATGACTTGTTGACACAAACAGCTGGATGTGCTGTGGGTCATTTGGCCAGTGAGCCATACAGGTGGCCCTGTTGTGCCCTCTCCAAAGTAGAGATGGGAGGAAAGCATCCTATGATCCTCAGCACTGATGAGACCACACCTTGAGTACTGCATTTGGCTTTAGATCTCTCAGTATAAGAATGACTTTGAGGCTCTGGAGCCTATCCAAAGAAGGGTTTGGAGCACAGGTCTTATGAGGAACAGCTGAGGGAGCTGATATTGTTCAGTCTGGAGAAGAGGAGGTTCAGGGAAGACCTTATCACTCTCTGCAACTCCCTGAAAGGAGGCTGTGGCAAAGTGGGGTCAGCCTCTTCTCCCAGGTAACAGTGATAAGATGAAGGGGATTGGCCTTCAGTTGTGCCAGATGAGGTTCAGGTTGCATACTAGGAAAATTTCTTCTCAAAAGTTTTGTGATGAATTGCAGCAGGCGGTCCTGGGAGGTGATGGAGTCACTGACCCTGGATGTGTTCAGGAACTGTGTAAATATGTCGCTGAGGGTCATGGTTAGTGGACATGGTGGTAATGGGTTGAACTAAGTCATCTGAGAGATCTTTCCCAACTTTAACCATTGTGTGATTCTGTGAGATAGATGTGATCCTTGAGTCCCAGTTCATTGGTCCTTACCAGCTGATTCACTCCAGTACTCTGGTGTAAGGTCAAAATAAATTATTATCCGGACCAGAGGGAGAATGTGAACTTCCCTGACCATTGTGTCAGCTCATGCTCCTGTCCTTCCCATGCTTACTCGTCATGGTAAGATCCTGTTTCCAAGGTAGCCCACAGGCTCTGATCTCACCTGCTTTTCTCCTCCACAGACATCCACATCCAGTATGAGCGGGTAGGTGCCGACGTGACCATGAAGTGTGGCTCCATGGACTGGGATGCAGCTGTGACCTGGACAGTCAATGGCACTGACATTGATGACTCCCACCTGAACGGGTCGTACCTGATCCTGAAGAAAGTGGACCTGACTCAGAACGGCCAGTACTCATGCTACGAGGGCTCCTCCTGGCATCTCAAGTACCAGACCTTCCTTAGGGTGGGAGGTGAGCACGCTGCTGTGTGACGTTGTGGGGAACAGGGGACACAGCCACACCACTGGCTCCTACACTGACCCCTCACTGCACCCTCCATTCGCGCCAATCCCAATACTGTCCATGTATATGGTTTTCTGCTGCACCCTGCAACACAGCCTACCAGTGGTGTATGAATCATAACAGCAGGATGCTGGAATCAGCCTCTCCTGCTCCAGACTTTGAGTCAAAGCTGATAATGATGCCCATGGAATAATTTTGGGAGGGATGCTGCTTCACCAGCCAGCCCAGTGCCATGGTACAGCAGAAGGAGCATTGTCTGAGGGTGGAAAGGGTCTGTACATGGCTGTGGTGGGGGACAGCTGCATGTTTCACAGGATTTTGCATATTTTAAGTGGGAGATGTGCTGATTCACAGATCTCACTGCAGGAGATAAGAGCTGTGCTGTATTTCACACCATGCTGATAGCTGATAGCTGACAGCAGCTGTGTGTTTTGCAGGCTGCAGTGTTTGTACAGCTGATAGCAGCTGTGGTTTTCGCAGTTGCAACTGAGAGCTGGCGATACCTGGGAGCAGTGTTTGGCATGTCTGGTGGCAGGGTGGAGGCTGCTGTAGAGGATGCTGAAAGGTACCAGTTGTAAGACCCCAAATATATGCTTTGTAGGTGGCTGTTCCCATGGGCGGGCGATTTCTTCTTTAGCACCTTGCAGGTGCATCTCTGCCATCTCTGCCACATGGGCCAGGCAGAAGAGTTACATGTATCATGCGTAAGCCCTGCAAATTGGGCAAAAATGGCCCTTTGTGTTAGTAGGTCCAAGTTTTGGGAATGCTGCATGGTGCTGACCTTGTGGTACTGGTGTCTAATGGGAGGGATGCTGGCACACAGTCTAAGGATGCTGGAAGGAGCTGGACATCAAAGAAAGAAGCAGGCAAGTGGGCAAGTGGAAGCAGAGAGGATGGTAATTAATAGCATGTAGCAGGCAAGTGCGTGGCCAGAGACCTCTTGACCATGTTACGGGGCTGAGGCGGTGGTCCAGGACTATTGGTCAGGGTGCCAGCAACACCTGGTATTCCAAGCAGGGCCTGCAGCCCAAATGTAGACCTAACGAGGGGAACATTGTCTCCAAACATCTCTGTAGCTGTGGCATCACTGAGACTCTGCAATGACTCTTACCTCTGCTCAGCGCCTCAGCTAATAGTAAGCCCTCTCACTCCGCTCTGGGACCCAGGGGAACTTCACAGCATTACAGCTGAAATCCCACTGTTTCCAATTACGATTTGTTCCTGTCTGCTGCCCACTCCTGGCCCTGCTGGGCACTGGGCAGCCAAAGGGCACACTCAGACACCACAGGGGCCACGAGCAATAAATAAATGAGTGCCCGGTGTTCTAATGCAATTAAGTATGCAAGGAACTAATCAGATGAGACCCTTTTAGCGGTAATTAATTTAATTGCCTGGATTTAATTTAATGTTCTCTCTGAAGTTTCTTTTCCCAGCACCCCTGCTGCCCCCAGCCCCTCCCTGCTCCCCTTTCCTGCCCTCGCCAGGGCCAGTTGGTACCCCAAGGTATGCAGAGTGCTATGGAGAGCAGGTTTGGGAGCATCCTTGGAGGAGATACACATGGTTTGCAGCATCCCCGTGGTAGCTTGTAATTGTGGGGATGTTTGCTGCATTCAGCTGGGCATATGGAGTGAGTGCCTGCAAGGACCACAGAGGAGAACCTGTGATTTGTAGAATCTTGGACTTGTTTAAATTGGATGGGAAGTTAAGTGAAAACAGGCCTGTGGCTGCATTTTCATGTCTTTAGCAGGTCAGAGCAGCAAAATTAAAGCAGTGTTAGCTATATGAATAAAGAGAGAGCAAGGAGAGAAATGAGCTGTGCAGGGAGGCTGGAGGGGAGCTTAGCGGTAACAGAGGTAGAATGTGGTCCTGAGCAATGCTGGGAAAAAAGGGGAGGAGAAAACCTAAAGATGGTCATTAGCCAGGTTCATTAAGGTCGGAGGCTGTCATTGGTGGAACCCAATGGGGATACAGGGAAAGGCAGCATGTCTCCTGTGCTTGGGAAAAGTAAAAATCCCAACTTCAGTGTCACAGGGTGCACTCAGGAGAAAGCACAATTACAGATATGGAGACAAATGGAAAATGGGAGAAAATAATACGGAGGCTTGCCAACAATACATCATGGCAGATTAACCTGATAGCTCTCTTTGATAAGGGAACTGATTTCCTAGGCCCAGAAATGCGGCCGATGTAATCTATCTTGACTTCAGTGAAGTATTTTGTTATGATGCCACATGGGAAATTATGAGTTAAACCAGAGAAAATGTGGATTAGTATGGGAATTGGAACATGGCTTAGGAAATGGCTAAAGGGGATCAGATTGTGCTGAAAGGGGATCTGCTAGGAAGGATGGGGAACTACAGCATCAGCCTTCGGACTGTGCTGCTCTGTTTTACGTAGTGGCTCTGAACCAGGATGATGAGGGAGTTCAGGTGGGACGTGGCTTTGGGATGACCCTGGGGCTTCTGGGGTGAGAGCTGCATGCTGGAAGGGCCAGAATGCAAGTGGGGCAAAAGGCACAAAGCACATGAAGGTGGCACACTAATGTGCTTTCACAATCTGGTCTTAAGGATGGGATTTGATATCTAGGTCCAACTCATGGGGGTGTGGCCGAGAGCTCTGCAGCACCCAGCGGAGTGCAGATGGCTTGAGGTAGCCTGCCTGTCCCATAGCTGCAGAGACAGGGATGCTGGCACACAGGCGGTGCGGGCAGTGTGTGTCCAGGGATGGAGTGACTGAGACATGGAGAGCCCAATTGGAAGAGCAGAAAGGAGCAAAAGCCGTGTTTATATGTGGGAGTCCCATCTGCTGTGCACACAACATGTGAGGGGACAGTGGCACTTCTCTGGGACAGCTTCTTCCAGAGGGCTTTGGGCAGCAATGTGTAGCTTTTCAGCCTTTCATCAAGTGGTGACAACTGAGCGTGGGGTGAGCCGTAGGAGGGCAACCGCAGTGCATATCTCCCATAGTCTTCCCCATAGCCTGGAGATTGGTGGGTGTCTGAGCATGGGTTGGAAGCAGTGGGCAATGGAGCTGTGGGCTTTGCAGGGCTCTGGGTACCAAGCTCCCGGCTACCTCCATGAGCTGCAGCATTTGGAAATGCATGGCCTGAGGGCCCGTGGATGGATGTAACAAAGACGTTGGGAAATAATGCGCTCTTGAGGTTTGGCACACGGCTCCGTGCATTACAGAATGTTATAAAAATATTGCTAATGGGCCAGAGAGGAGTGGAAACGCACGGTGGAGAGGCTGCCAGAAGCTGGAGAGTGCACATGGGAGTGGGGAGGCCTTGTGTGCAGACAGGGGAGGGAGGCAGCAGCCGGGTGGGCGTCCATCCTTTCTCTCCCATCTAACCTGCTTGTCTCCATGCCCTGCCTGATGGAGTCTGCAATCCTCTGGCCCCTCTGTCCTGGGATGCTGGAGCGCCCTGCTCACCCCATTGCTGACAAATTCCCTATGGCAGGGATGCAAGTCGGGATGTTGGTTGTGGGATGGGGATGTGAGGCCACGTGCCTGCCCAGATCCTGCCTGCAGGAGTGGGAGGTGGGCAGGCTCCAGGCTGGCTTGCTTCCTCCCATGTCGGTCACTGCAGTGGCTGGCAAGAGAAAGGGAAAAAACATGCGGTTTGACAGAAAACGACATGGAAAAACAACCAAATTAACAGAAAAACAAACAAAGCAAAACCAGAATGGGTTGGGGGGGGGCAGGGAGGGACGGGGCAAAGCAACAGAAACCACATGTGAGCAGGGAGGCCGAGAGAGCCCGAGTGTGTTCTGTGTCCTGATTAGCGAGCGATCAAACATCAGCCACTAATAAATAATCAGAGCCTCCCTTCTCTCTGCCTTAGAAGTCCCTTTCCTCCCAGCTGGGCTCCAGCTGCAACTGGAGGATCGGACTGCAGTATGCTTCTTTTTTGTGTGTATGTGTAGCGTTTTGGTTTTTTTTTTTCTTTTTCACCCATCCATGATGAAGAAACAAAGGAGGCAACAACCTTACAGTGTGACATGTTCCTCTGTGTTTCCCCAGCTCAGAACGGAGCAGCAGGCAGGTGTGAGCAGCCCACAATGGGCACTGACTCCATGAGGTGGCTCTCTGCCCAGTCTTCTCTGGAGGTTGATTTGGAGTGAAAAATTGCACTGATTGTGCACCCACGCCCTCAGCCACCGGTGTGAAGGTGCATGGAGTTAGTCTGGTGCTCCCGCTGGTGTAGGGTCAGTGTGTGCAAATATTTTCCTCCTCATGTCCAGCGATCTGTGATATAGGGATTGTTTTTGTCTAAAAGCCTTTTTGATGGATTTTTCCCCCATGAGTTTGGCCAATCCTTTCCCGTGGCCATGTAAACTTGAGGCTATTTCAAGAGCAGCAAGTTTAATATGGCAGTGGCTGCTGCCGGGTACGAGGGCCAGCTGGCAGCACCAGTACTGTGTCCTTCTCTCCTTCCAAACTGGGTACCCACATCTCTTCTGCCCCTTGAGAGCAGCACTCAGTTGGCTGCACCCAGGCAGAGATGCATCGACCTGGAGCTAAACCACATTGAGTATAGCGCTAATAAATCAAAGCATGTGGCTGCTGATGTTCCAGCATCAGAAGATGCACCCAGAATCTGTCAGCACTATGGCTGTGTGTTTTTCTGTAAAAGTCTGTTGCAGTGGAGGTGCACAGGTAAGCAAAGGGTTATTGCCACATCCCTGGAAGCATTCAAGCTCCCCCTCTCAATGGAGTCCTGGGCTGCCTCATCTGATGGGAGGCAACCAGCCCACAGCAGGAGCTGGGGCTGGGAGGGTTTTAAGGTCCGTTCCAACCCAATCCATTCTCTGATTCTGGGATTCCATGATAACACATGAGGCTGATCAGCAGAAGTGTAGAAGTGGAGCTTCATTTCATGAGCCATACAGGCTGTCTGCATGCCCTGCTTTGCTGTTTGCTCATGGCTGGAAAAACTAAGTGGAGGA